AAAAAAAAAAAAAAAAAAAAGAAAAGAAAATTGAATACAGTTGTCCCTCGGTAACTACAGAGGTTGGTTCCAGGATTCCCCACTGACACCAAAATCATGGACACTCAAGCCCCTTATATACAATGGTATCATGTCTGCCTGTAACCTGCACACATCCTCCTGTACACTTTAAATGATCTCCCAGCTACTTATCATATTTAGTACAATGTAAATGCTATATAAATAGTAGTTATATTGTACTTTAAATTTTGTTAGTGTTTAATTGTTTTATTTAGGGTTTTCTACTGAATGCTTTCTATCCTTGGTTGGTTGAATCTGAGGATTTGGAACCCTAGATACAGGGTTCCAAATACCCTAGTTTCAGGGTGATTATACTTAGAATTAAAGCTTCAAAAGTGCCCAGGAAAAAAGTTCTGATAGGCTCCTGAGGACTGTGAAAGAAGGTGCCTTGGCCAATGAGGTGTCCCTCCCTGTTCAAGGGTTCAGCTGCACACCACAGCCAACGCTAAAATATCCTAACAATCCATCTTCTGATGGTGTGTACCCCAGCCATGCCACAGGAACTAGGGCTGATCCAAGTGACTACCAGACATAAGAATGACAACATGTGACTTCCATTGGCTCAGTGATAAAAGACAGTATTGTGTTCCCCTACCTCCTCATGACCCTGGGGACACTTGATAAGCAGCAAGAACCTGCCAGTTGGCAGTAGTCAAGTTTCTGTAGCCTTCATCTTGAGAACTTAGCCACTAACACCCAGGTAGGGTGCCCCTGAATTCCTAATGCATAGAAAGTACTAATGCACCAATTTAGCATGGACTCTAACAAGACAAAGACGTCTACCAAAATCAGCCACTATAAAAAGAAGACAAATGAGCAGTGTAACTAAAAAGCTACCAGAAAAGATAAAATGTAATTTTTTTTTTTTTTTTTGAGACAGAGCCTCAAGCTGTCGCCCTGGGTAGAGTACCGTGGCATTATAGCTCACAGCAACTTCCAACTCCTGGGCTCAAGCGATTCTCCTGCCTCTGCTTCCCAAGTAGCTGGGACTACAGGCACCTGCCACAACACCCGGCTATTTTTTGGTTGTAGCCATTATTGTTGTTTGGTAGGCCCAGGTTGAATTTGAACCTGCCAGCTCAGGTGTATGTGGCTGGAGCTTTAGCAGCTTGAGCCATAGGCACTGAGCCAAAATGTAATAATTTTTAAAATACTTGATTAATGCTTAAAGTAAGTAAAAAGGGATGACTAAAGAACAAATGAGACAAATAAAAAACAAAACTAAAAAACTGTGATAGAAAAGTCAACTAGTGGCTCGGCGCCTATAGCTCAACCGGCTAAGGC